GGGCGGTGTCAGCAGCGCCTGGGCCAGCCCGGGCTGGTCGGGGGACGAGCTGCTGTGCTGCCGGTGTCAGGGGGCTCGGTCAGAGCCCCGAGGCCGCAGAGCAGCCGCTGGAGCCTGTCGCAGCCCGTGACTTCCCGTCCCTGGCGCTGCTTAGATAATATTTGCAGAGAGCCTTGATGTCCCCCTCCCCATAAGAGGCGGGATTTAGCCTCTGTGAGATTTACTTCCACCATAGCCAATTCAACTGTTTGTGTGATGTTTCTCCTTTTTTTTTTAGTCTGCAACTATTCCGCTCTTCATGAGTAACAAAGATGTTGCTGCAGAAGCGGTGAGTGCTTTTGCTTGGTCGAGCTCATTGCTTTTCTTGGTTTGCCTCTGGAGCTGAGGAGGGGGGCTGACTCTGTTTCCCTTCTCACAGGTAACAGGCAGTGGCAAAACCTTAGCGTTTGTAATTCCCATACTGGAAATTCTCCTCAGACGGGAAGAAAAATTAAAGAAAATGCAGGTAAGATTAATTTGTTCAGTTCTGAGTATGCTTTTATGGTGTGCCAGTAAGATTTGATGACTCTAGGAAAAGTACCAATAAGGAAAATTGCATACACATGCAGTGACTGTGTGCTCAGCTCTTTGGTATAGCAGTAACAATAAAATGTTTAAAACTTGAAAATAAATATTGGGGTGCTTTCCTTGCACTTAGAGACAGCTTTTTATTTGACACGATCAAAACAGGTTTCTGAGCTGTTAGAAAAGTGTCTTAAAACATCAAATACGATGATGCACTGCAAACAAGAGCCTTTGTATGCTTTTTGGCATTCATTCACTTTGAATACATTTTAGCGTACAGAGAACTTGGGCTGTTATTTGTTATTAAATATCATTGTGAGATGCTGCTCTTTGAGTGGAGGTATTCTGCACATTTGTATAACTTTCATAGATACTTTCTGTTATTTTGTACACTTTAGTGTATTTCTATGGAAATGTTTTGTGTAAAACTAGGATCGTAAACATGGCTCATGCTCAGCTTGTAAGGGAGAATTTTGCCCAAATTTTTCTTCCAGTCTCTTATATTCCATAAATTCCTTTTGTTTTTCATGTGCAGGTTGGAGCTATAATTATCACACCAACAAGGGAATTAGCTATTCAAATTGATGAGGTGCTATCACATTTCACAAAACACTTCCCAAGGTTTAGGTGAGTGAACTTCAGGCTTGTTGTGACCATAGTTCCTTTTCCTTTAGAATTCTGTCATTTGTAAACTAGCAAAACCTAAAGATGACCTAAATGTTTCTGTTTTATTGTTTTAGTCAGATTCTTTTAATTGGTGGTAGGAATCCCATGGAAGATGTTGAAAAGTTTAAGGAATGTGGGTGAGTTGATTGTCAACAGTTTTTTTTTTATCAATGCCTCGCAGCTGTGGTTTTTTCCTTGTCCGTAGGGATTTCAGATTAGAGCTTTGGTCCTGCTGGTGCGAAGAGCTGATGGTAAAGCATGAGTATGTTAAGGTGTATGCTGAGGAAATTGTGGATTCTTTTTGTTGAGTGTGATATGCCAGGCACTGAAATATGCATACAGTTAGAAGTGACAAAATGAAATTGTTTTATTGAAGAATGCAGTCAACTTGCATGCAGGTTTGTGCTGCGATAACAATCTTAGCAGCTCCCCCAAAGTCCTTACCTCGCACAGGTATAAAATTGCTGTGTGTCTTGTTCACAAACAGTGGGAACATCATTGTAGCTACACCTGGCCGCTTGGAGGATCTGTTCAGAAGAAAAGCAGACGGGCTGGATCTAGCAAGTTGTGTGAAGTCTCTGGATGTGTTGGTATTAGATGAAGCAGACAGACTTCTAGATATGGGCTTTGAAGCAAGGTATTTAAATAATAAATTCTAGTAATATTTCTGAAGTTTTAAATGAGTTCACATATGATTGCTGTGAAAGAGCATGGCCTACGATGACCTCTGAAGTTAGATTTGTTCTGTTTTGTTCTTTGATCTATCTTTGCTCCATGGACTACATAAAGCAATTGTGAAGGGGGAAGATA